GCGCCAGCTGTTCCCAGTCCTTTTACAAGGCATTTAGCATCTCTGAACCTCGGTTTTTCTCATCTGTCAAGGGGATTAAAGTCATTTACCACTGGGGGTGTGGGGAGATAAATACACACAAAGTACTGAGGCGGAACACGTAGTAACTGTCATAAAGCACGGTCACATTATTAGCTGTTTCCATGAGCGGAAAGTTCTCCCTGCACAGGAAGATACTCTCCATATGAGTGTCTTTGCAAGAGAAATGAACCTAATCAGACATCCAGAGAAAAAAGAAAATTTAAAAGATTGCAACAGCAAAACGCGGTAGTAAGAAAGGCCATGGATACAGGTCACCTGGGGAAGGCGGGAGAGATACCGGCAGGGAAATCACCCTGTCTGCAGGGAGCTGGCTGGGAGGAAACCAGTACGGATTCACAGAGACTGGGCACCAAGAAGCTGCATGGGGGTTTGTTGTGATTGTATTTATAAAAGGAGAGACTGGAAATAACCAACAGGAATATTTTTCTCTAAAATTAAGTGATATGTGTCCCTTTTGTCATTAAGAAAAGATTTTGAAATTCCATTTGAGTACCTGAAATCATTTTCAAATACCCCAATTGTTTTCTTTTAAACCCCAGTTTAATGTCCAGATTAGGACATTAACATTAACCAAGGAAGGCCAGGTAAGGCACATTCCTCTAATTTTTACCAGTAATTTTGGGCACCGTCAAAACTTCTGAAGAACGAAAGGCCTGTGGAAGGAGAGGCAAATGCAGGAGAAAATAACGTACATAAAGGAAACAGCCAAGATCCCAAATCATGCTGGATACTATAAGGAGAACATTAGGTGAATGTTGTTTCGTGCTTCTCTTCTCCCTCAACACGCTGGGCGCGTGCACATACACACACTAAGATCTTTTGAAGTAAAACTCAGTATTACCCACTAAATCCTTTCCCACACAGACTAACAGACTCTATTTTTGTATCCCAGTGAGATTTGCACCAAAAAATAGAGCTCCAGCAAAAAGAGGAAACAATTTCTGTGTTCATCTGAGTTTTTCTCACTTCCTTATTTTAAAATAATCACCCAACATGTCTAAAAAATTCAGAACAATAGTACAGTCTCTACACACTGTATAGACATTGTGGTGGACATTTTAAGATTAAACTGAATCAATTAAAAGGTTTTTGGTCGTTTGTCATCTTCTTAGAAAACTTCCGACACAGCATAGCGCTGAGTGCTGGAAGAAACCTCTAAGGTCACCTAGTCTAATCCTGTCACTTCACAGAGATATGGGGAGATAATTTGGCTGATCCAACACAATGAAGACTCAAATTAAAATGGCTGCTTAGAAAGAGGTAATGGGAAATAGAGCAAAATCTTGAAAATATGTTTCAATGGGAAAGTAATCATGATCAATGAGCCTATTAAGTGAAGACATAGGAAATTCCATGAGCAAACTCCCCATTCCAATGTCAGGACCGCTTACCTCTGGAAAACTGAAATTAAAAGTTGCCAGAACCAACTCTTTGGATCTGCAAGTAGAGTCACAAGAAGAGAACTCAGTCTCTCCTCTGAAATGGCCTACTTTAATAACTAAGCTGATGGGTGTCTAGGAGTTGCCTCGATTTGATGATGCTCCCATTTTCAGAAAAGTGGAGAGTTGAGAAAATGATCTGAGCACATGAGAAGAACAAAGACAGGACAAAAAAAGGGTGGCCTAGACCCTGGTGGGCTACTCAGTGACCCCCAACCAGCAGTGTCAGAGTCACCTGGAAGCTTTGTTATAAATGCAGCATTTGGGGGCCCACTCAGATCTACAAGTCAGAATATGAAGTTAGCAAGACCCCCTCCTCCCACCCCACCCTCCTGCAGACCTTAAAGTTTATGAGGCACTTATTTAGATAAAGCAGCAGCAAAAGGAAGTATAACTGATTACCTAGAACCACATTTAACCTAAGTTTCTGTTATAGGTATCTCCATTACCAGTTCTGCTCTCTAAAGCTCTTAATCTTTATGTCTAATTTTAAGTTTTAAATGATCTAATGTTTAGCCTAAATTTTGAAACGGTCTTAGTGAATATCTTCACCAAATAGTCATGCTTTTTCAAAGGTTCCTCAAAGTTAAGAAAGGGAAAGAAAAAAATAACTATATTCCGGAAGCTTTTACCATTTTCAAGGGTTACATAGATTTTGATTGGGGTATTTTCTTGCTTTTTTCTACTGGGGTTTTAGTGTACCATGACTAAAGTTTCCTCAGTTGGGAGTTAGAAACCAGGGAGACCTGATGAAGGAAGAAGACTGAATTCAAAGTAGAATGTTCTGGTGAAAAAGAGGAACTTTGCATAAGGGATTTTTTTTTATGACCAAAGGCTCTCAACGTCACATGATCTAAACATGGTTCCACCACTGACTCCCTCAGGCCACAGTTACAGTCTCGCTCAGCACGTCCAAAACCACTCATTCACCCTCGCCTGTGCAAATGATTAGCAAGTTTTCCTTCTGACTGTCTTCTTGTTACTTTCAATGGTCTTTCAATCAGTAACTCCACCATTTCTGTCCCTATCCTTATTTAGTCTCATTGTAAATTTCCCATTAATTTCCCACTGGGATGTTTTTCTTAATATCAACAATCAAAGATACAAGTTTAATGTATTCATTTCTCGTGAGCCTAAAGCAGCTTGTGGTAATGGAATATCTGAAAATTTTGTATTTTGCATTTATGTCGTGGTTCCTTAAGAAAGCCTCATTTGTACCATTTGTACAAGAAGAATATTAGAAAAACCAGAGAATGTAACTAAGGAGATAATTATAACAGAAATCTAGTTTAGAGATAGTACTGTCCTTAAACACTATTTTAGTCCTAGGTTTCCTGAGAGTCAAAGCAAGTATGAAAATGGGCAAAAAGGAGGTGCTTCAAAAAGATTTGAGAGTGTCTGACCTTGGGGAGCCATAGATGATTAGTCCTGGAAAGTATCTTAGATCAAGTCTAATTCTGCTTCTGCACAAGAAGGAAACTGAAACCCAAAGAGGATAAACAACTTGCCTGCCACAGGCCACGCAGTTAGCAACACAGCCAGGCACTGGGTGTCCCCACCCCTGTTCAATGCCCTTTTTGTTACGTTGCCAGACTCTGAGTTTTGGATGTGTTAAGAAAGCTTGACCAGCATAAATATCAGACATCAAGAACCACTTTACTGGGTACTTATGGATGCCCAAAAGCAAACCCAAGCCACTCATGAACCTCAGGTCCCCAAATTCACAGGCCTAACCCTGCTTGAGAAATAACACTGGAGCCTGCAGCCATCTTTCCTCCTCCTCTCTTTCCTATAATTCCATTTGTCCCCACTTATCCATCAACACGAACTGCGGAGATTTTCCTATAAGCAGCTTACTTTAATCTCCCATTAAAATAATCTCTTTCTGATGAGAGGTTATTTGCTGTCAGAACAGAAATACCACTGTGAAATACTTCATAATTTCTGAAACACTTGAAGCTAAAAGCTCATAATATACTGAGTCCAAGTTGCTAGTAAAAAGTAAAATATCACAGGCGATCCACTTAGCCAGGCATCTAAACATTGGACACATCCAAATAGTATTAAAAGAATCTTTCTTGTCATCTATTTTTTAATGCCACCCCTGCAACACTCTAAAGAACATGCTGTTAGAGCATGGGGCGTGCAATACCAGCACAGTGACTAGACATCTCTGAGCTCTGAGGGATTGACTGGAGGCTCACAGCATATCATGATCTCATGGAGACATCATCATCTGAACCCACAGCAACAACTAGTTGTGTATTGGGTCTTTGTAAGTTTAAGCAGAACACAACACCCTCAAAGCAATCAAGTACAATCACACCAGTTTGAATTAGTGTGCTTTTTTTATTATTGTGTCCTTCTGAAGTAAAAAGAAGCAAACCCTGGAGAAAAATATCAGCCTGGGCCCACATATTGTGAATTCTTCCATGCTAACAATTGTCATTTATATTATCAAATGAACCAGAGTCCCACTATGTTAAGCAACATGGTCCTATTTATTGGTTTAGAGCAGTCTATTCTGGGAATAAAAGCATCGAGAAAGCGCTATTAGCTTTTTAAGGTCACTAGGAATGAGTGGATGCTTGATTCAGTTCATCAAATGAAACAGGGGCAGGGGTGGGTGAGACAAATTAATACTCAAGTCACACCGGGGATAATTGAGCGTTGCTCAATCACGGAATAATTTTCCAGGCTTCCTTGCTGGCTTCAGGTATAGAAGATGGTAAATGGCAAGAGAACAGAAGATAAACACGGCCTGCTATAGCCATAGTGAGGCAAAAAAAGAAAACAAAATGAGGAAGAAAAGTAACATGCATCCCAGAGTGTCTTCCGTTACTGCTAGTCAGACTATATGTCACACTTCCTGGGGCCTCTGCACTCATTTGCCTGGCAGAGAGTACTGGAATTTTCCCAGTTTGAAAGGAGAAATGGGGCAAAAGGAAGAAGCTAGGCTGAGGGCAAAAAGAGAAGGGTGTTTCTCTACAATCACATTACCCAAAAGTGCTACTCTTCAGGTGCTATGACCATAAATGGATGTAGCTTGCAAGCATCAAGGCTGGTGGGCATGTTCCTCACACTCCTCACCCAACCAAGTCTCACTCTCCCACCCACTGTCCTCTAGGCTGGAAACTGTGTCCTCCACCTGTGAAGGTACAGAAATTTCTAGAATGGCTTTTATTGAAGTATCCTGCTTTCAACCTGTAAACATGACCAGGCTTCTTAGCATGTGAGGTCCAGGCTCATTTTGTTATAAAAGTGGCTGTAGACGATGAGGATGTCACATCCTCTGAGCACCTCTGAACAAGAGTGAGGCAAGGAAGCATGTTAACACTCTGTTCCTTTCTTCCATGACCCCTCTTGGCCCACAAAACATGGTGGGCACCCACAAGACAACGTCTCACTGAATTGTCAGGTCCTGGATTAGTCACTTTTTAGGGCTTGCTTAATTGTTGCCTCAGGAGAAACTCTTCTTACCTTCTGAAATGGCCTTCTTCACAGCAGTCACGTAAGTCTCAGGCTCGTCGTCACAGGTGAGCTCCTGCCAGTGGGCCCAGTCTGGGAAGAAATCCAGGAACTCCTCGCTGTCCTGGACGCCACAGAGCAGCCGCACCACGCGGTGGGGAGGGTGGAAGGCACGCTGCAGCAGGGGCAGCAGCTTCGGCTGGCAGAACTGCTGCACCATGTCCGCAGACAGCAGCACCACGATGCATCGAGCACTGAGGAAGAAGTTCAGGTCCACGGCCGAGAAGGAGACCTCGGGGCCCAGCCTGTAAGTCAGAGTCTTCTGGCTGTGGACCTGCCGACTGGACAGGAAAAGTTTCTGCAGGTACTGGCACCATTCCTTGGCATCCGGGCTGTAGACGATGAGGATGTCACATCCTCTGAGCACCTCTGAACAAGAGTGAGGCAAGGAAGCATGTTAACACTCTGTTCCTTTCTTCCATGACCCCTCTTGGCCCACAAAACATGGTGGGCACCCACAGTCTTTCACTGTCCGCCTCCAGCAAAGCTGACTGACAGCTCCATGTAGACCTGCATTCCCACCATCCCAGACTCCCTGTCATTACCCAGATACACTGTGCCATCTCAGACCTTCACCAACGCTATTGCTTCTGTCAGCATTGCACTCCCCTTCCCAAATGGATGTAGGAAAACATGATGATGGTGATGACAACGACAACATCAAGCACTTAAAGCTCTTACTATGTTTCAAGTGTCCTTCCAAGCACACTGCCTACCAAACTTATTTAATCATTGGCAACCTTATAAAGTGTCCTTACTTGCCCCATTTTAAAGCTGAGAATACTCAGGTGTGGCAGGTTAAGGAATATGTTCAAGGTCCATAGTGGCAGCGTCATAATGGCCCCAGAACCTGGTTCTTTTTCAAACACAGTAGTTACCAGCACAGGTGTGGAATCAAGTGGCCAGCTTGGCATACTGGCCCTGCAAAGTATTCGCTACATAATCTTGGACAAGCTACTTAAATATTCTGAACTTCAGTTCACTCATCTTTAAGTGGAAATGGCAACACTCAATCAGAGTTCTGTGAGAATTAAAAAATATATATCTCATGTAAAGTGCTAGGTTTAGTGCTTCACGCTAAGGATTTGCTTCATAGTAAACCCTCAGTAATTGATAGCTGGTATCATATCCTCACATCAATATAAACAATTCATCAATGTAATGGCAACCATCATTGAATTAATGCTGTAACCTACACAGCATCCGTAAGGTATCGCCAACCTGGCCCGTGACACATGCTGTCGTCTTCCTCTAATAAAGCGCAAATACCAGAAACAGAGCCAAAGCTTTAGAGAAGCACTGAGTTAAAAAGGACCTGGGGAGATCATATGGCCCAAATTCCTCATTTACAGAAAAAAGAAACACTTCATCTGGGAAAAGGAAGGGACTCCCCTGAGCTAGGACTGAACCTCGGTTTGTCCAGTGGTTCCCCGTCCAGTCCTCTTGCCACACCACCCACTGCTGCCCATCAGGATATGTCAAGAATCTGAGGAGCAATAAATCACTAAATCACACCTTCTAATTATCAAAGTTCAGAGAAACTTGGAGTTAGCACAACTGTTAGCACTGTTGCAGGTCCTCATCTTTCCAATAATTCAACAAACCACTGAGTTGTTTGGACAGGATGAGTAAGACAGAAGTTGCCAGATGCGGAACAATGCAATGAGAATCCTTCCTCCACATGGAAAGGGAGATAGAAATTGTCTGAAGCTTGGGGATCACCTAATTTAATCATCATTTAAATGCCATCCTTGGGCCACATTTACAGATTGGTTCTTGGGAAACAGGTCAGGGGCAGGGCGAAACCTTAGGCACTGCACTCTGTGAGCATCATGGAGAGAATCTCCTGATCTGCCCTGGGCATGGTCCAGGGCATTCAAAGTAAAAATAACACATAAATGTAAACCAACACAGTCTGATTTCCCTCAGGCAGATAGCACCATTTTTTTTAAAATAGCAAATAAAACACAAATTTGAAATTTAGATTTGGAGGCTCTGCTTTGTCAGAGCCCTCACCCAATGAAAATACAAAAATCCAATAAGGTACCAAAAGGAGATAGTTGATTAACCAGGAAGGACTTTCAAAGCAAAGGTTCGCCAACGTTAAAAGCCAATATTTGAAGGCCATATCAGACTGGACAAAAACGGGGAACAATCTGGTGATGCGTGGATATTTTAGCTCTGCAGAGAACTCAATTCTGAGCATAGTCTGTTTCTTCATTGCAACAAAGCAGTTCTTTTTTAGGTATGTTTAATCTGGCCCCAAAGTTTAAGCAGATCAAGAACAAAATTTTAATTATGAAGATTGTAGCTTTCCACAGAGTAACATTTTGCTGATAGTATCTTTGTTTTCTGGGTAGAGCATTACATTGTACCTCAATGAAAAAATAATTTCAGAACTGCAGAAGAATAAAATTAGCAAAGCTATAGGGCGATCAAAGCAAAGTTAAAATATCAAAGTGTCTTTATCTTCTCTCTGCACCTTCTTTCTTACATGGCTAGTTTATACTCAGAAACAAACGTTCTTCTAGATGTAAAGTGTTATTGCATAGAAGGGGCGTGTGTGAGCATGGGCCACTAATAGGTAATATAGAAGACTTTACCTTTCATTATAATCTCATGGATGAAAAGTTAGTGAGGCTGTGCTTGCAGGTGCAAAGTAAGAAGCAGTAATCACTCACATACATGAATACACACATACATATACACTAGCAAATAGTACATCAGTAACTTGTACAAATGGGTTAGAAGAATAAGAGCTTAGAAAAGACTGTGATCCCATATGTTAGTGATGAAGAAAGAAGTCACTAGTAATGTTTCAATCGGGTTAACAAGTGAGGGCAAGAAGTAAAGAATAGGAAAAAGGCTTTCCTAAAGGATAAATGCCACACAGAGGGCCTCCCCGATGGCTTTGGGGTTAAGTCTCAGCACTATCACCATGAAGGCCTGAGTTCAATCCACAGCCAGGGAGCTGACCCACATGGCACAGCAGACCTTTCCTGTCTTTTCTGCTGCTTCCCTCAGAAGTGTGTTTCACTCAATCTGCCTGTTCTGCTCCTCTCACCCTGCTCCTGCACCTCTGGCCTACGCCCCAGTTCTTGTATCCATAAATAAATAAATCTTCTTTAAAAAAGTGCTATAGAGCCCTCCCTGGTGGCGCAGCAGGTTAAAATGCAGCACAGAACCTAACGCCACTTCAGCATGAGTTTGATCCCCGCCCCGGAGGTGACCCGCATGGCACAGCAGATCTCTCCTGACCCGCCCACTGCTCCCCTCAGCAATATACTTCAGCGATCTGCCTGTTCTGCTCCCCGCTCTGTCTCTAGTGAATTCTCTCACTGCACCTGTGCCTCTGGCCTGTACCCCAGTTCTGTATGCATAAATAAATAAATCTTTTTTTAAGAGTGCTATAAAGAAGGCATCTGGGGACCTAGAGCACAGATTGATTTAGCAGGAAAGCAGCAGCAATTTATGCCCTTTTATAAGGAGGCAGTGACCGAAAGGCTCGCCAACATTTTAAGATGACAAATTCTGGGGACACTAGGGGAGAAAGTGCTCTCTTACCCCAAATCCTGCCTCCCTCTCACAATACCTGCTGTTCTTTAAAGACATCAAATCATCAATTATTAAGTACTAATAATAGGAGAAACTGGGGAGCTAGTTTGTACTATCTTCACAATTTTTATATAAATCTAAAACAATTCTAAATCAAACATTTAAAAATACATTTAAATGGAAAGTGCTTTCAAAGTCAGCCTTTTCTATATGGAAAACATATTTAAAAGGTTTCAATCCTGGCATTAAGTTCAACTCCCCTCCCCGGTTGCGTAAAAGTACTTGATAGCAGCTAGTGCCTCCAACTAATAATATCACAACCTGCTTGGTCACCCACTGTGGAGTGACTTCAGATCAATATACCAAATGCAGGCAAATTTTGTGTCAGCATAAAATGAAGACAGTGGATTCTAACACCTTCCAGAATTTTGCTTAAATTGAAAACTGGGGAAGTTGTAAAAAAAAAAAAAAAAAGAAAATCCAAAGTGGAAGTTAAAGTCCCTCCATAAATGATCCTCACACCTCAGCACTACATGCTTTGTCAGCAGCGCCCTCCTCTCGTGGGGACATCTCTTTCTTTGAGATAATTCCCTGCGTTAGCCACAAGTTATTTCTGCACATGATTTTCTCACAAATCAATTCTCTCGCTTTTGCATGCTTATGAAGAGAAAGGAAATGAGTGGAGGAACAAGGAGCCCATACATCCTAGAGAGAAATGAGAAAGGGGTTTTGTCTTTGCAGAGTCTCAAGAACAGGACTGGCTCTAGAAGGAGACAGAAGGCACAGAGGCAGGCAGTGCCTGGGGCAACAGAGAGCCACAGTAGGGAGAGAGAGAAGGTCCCTTTAAGATTCAGAGTCCACCAGAGAGAAAGTGCCAGGGAGCAGCCCAGACCATTTATGGAGTGTGACATGGTACCCCAGTGATCTACCTGGAGCTCTTTGTTTGAGTCTGAGCACGGAGGTGAGAGAGGCAAGTGCCAGGACAGAGAGGGGCTGGGGAACTCCTGTGAGGAGCTTGCAGACTCTGGCAGTGTCACGTTTAGAGACTTGGCAAGAATAGTAAGGGAACTTGAGGATCAGCTGGAAGTTAGAAATCACCAAAAGTATAGGTCTTCCAAGCCCTGTTGTCCTGTAAATCCAGAGGCAGTAGCACGATCTGGATGAGAGAGGAGGCAGGAAAAGGTTTTGAGAGTTCTCTTCAAGTGCTTGGAGGTTAGTACACAGAGGAGATGCTGGTTTTCACCCACCCAGACTAGGCTGCTTGGGAAAGTCACCAAGACCTGAATCCACTTCATTTTATCTCACTAACCAGGTTCTTTCAAAAACAGGAGCCAAGATCCTCCTTGATTTCAACAAGCAAAACTGCCTTTCAAAAAATAAATGCTAACTAATGCTGACCCCTCAGGGGACGGGAATCAAGATGACCTGATGATTTAACCATGAACAGGAATGAAGTCCTGATACACGCTACAACTTGGATGAGCCTCGAAAGCAACATGCTGTGTGAAAGAAGCCAGTCACAATAACCACACACCATATGATTCCAGCTACAAAGTCCAGAACAGGAAAATATATGAAGACAGAAGGTGGAACTTAGGGTTGGAGAGATGGTGGGATGAAGGGGGTGAGAGCTAAAGCATATGGAGATTCTGAGGTGGTAAAAATGTTCTAAAATTGACTGTAGTGATGCACATAGCCGTGAAGATACTAAAAGGCATTGAACTGAATGCTTTAAATGGGGAAATGCATGGCATGTGAGTTGATGTCAATAAATGTGATTAAAAGAAGAGGAGAAAAAGATGAGAATGGGGGCAGGGAAGAATACAAAGCAGCCACTGGCTTTGGTGACAACTCCAGAGCCTACAGCATGTTGGTCAGAGGGGTCACCACTCTCACCACTGTGACTTGCCATCATGGGTCCCTGTACCTCCAGAACACAGGGAGTCCCCAGGGCCCCCAGAAGCTCAACTCCCACTTGTAGCACCTGGAGTGGCATTTCACCACAGAGGACGCTGAAAACAAGAAGGCTTGACAGCCTGAACCACGGCAGACATCTGCGGAAGCCACTGCAGAGCCCAAAAATAGCCTAGGTCTGGCCACTGACTCCAGGCCCCATCTGACTGCAAGCACTCCCTCCAAGCCCTTCAGCCATGCCCACCGGAGCAATGCTCACAGGACCCATGCCCAGGGTGACTCTCAATCTCTCTGCCCAAAGACTCCCCCAGTTTGCTGTTCCTGAACCAACAGGGCCTTTCCAGCTGTGGAAGCAGATGGGAACTTCTATAAGCTCATCTCCTGTTTCTCCCCTGTCACCTACCTATTCCAGCCACCTTCTGCCAGCTCCTTAAATACACCACATACACCCACTGGTTGTCCCTTGGTCTGGGGTTCTCTTTGCTCAAATGTCCCCAAACCTACTTTAAAACAAAAAGCCCACACCCCACCCCCCTTACTCCTCTCTAATTGTTTTTCCCCTGCCCTTAGCATATCAAATACTTTTTCCTCGGGTTCAAGTACATTCCTCTAGCACTCTCCAAATGCTTGTAGGGACATGGCCTTTGTCTGCTTTGTTTGCTGGATTATACATCTGACACCTAGGACTGTGTCTGCAACCAGCAGGCTTACAATTTGTTGAATGAATAAATTGCCTGAAGATAACTCAGCCTCAGCTTTCAAATGAACTGTGTGCAAATGCAATGAATATTACCAGGGGTTCTTTATTCTCAACACAACTTCTAATCTCCAGCTGGAGCACACAAGAGTGAGGTGACCTACCTTCCCACGCCTCTTAAATAGTCAGCCTGTGTCGCCCAGTCTACCAGAGCTGCGGTCATTGGTGCCTTCTGCTCTGGCTTCCACCAGGTTAGAAAGCTAGGCCCCTGTGGTTCTGGAGAGAGCTTCTCATCAATCTAGTATTTGCTGCCACCCTCCAGATCAACACCTCCTGGCTGATTCGAGTTCATGTTCTAAGAGGCTTTTTATATACTGTTTGTACATGTTATCTCTGCTAAAATACCATCAGATAGGCTGGGGAAAATAAAGGAAAACCCAGTTGCAAACATGATAATGCTAATCTTCTCATGCAGTAATTCCCTACTTGCTTAGTGCTTTCCTTCACAAGACTATAAACTGCTTAAGTGCAGAAAGTAGGCGTGCCCTGGTCACCACTGAGAACATATCAGGTGCACAAGATCTACTCAAGCCGTCCCTGTTACCATCGTTATTTTGTGGTTTGTCCTGGGTCTTAGTGAGTGACCCCAATCAGCATAGACTCCTCACTCTCTGATGGACAGATTACCCATTGATCCGCTCCTCTCCCCACTCCCCAGAGTCCTGCAAAGGACATACGTAAAATAAAGCTAAAAGAATGGTGTTCCTTGATTCCTACCGAAATTCTAGACGAAAAACAAAGCCTGGGATAAGGAAAGGCCCAGCGGGCTTGGGGGGGCCTCAACTCCCTAGCACCAGCGGAGGACAGTCTGAGCGCCCCCTATTGGTGCGATAGGGTCCTAAGACAAGCATTTGGCCCCCAGAGACTTGTCCGCCGCGGTCACTTTTCTACTGTCTCTCCTTTCCGAGTTGAAAGAACTACAGAGAGGGCCTTCAGTAGCTCCGCGGGACGGTTGGGGGCGGGGGGGACTTTGGAGACAAGGAAGGGTCAGGCAGAGGCTGAAAAGAAGGGAAAAGAACGAGAGAAAGTTGAGGTGGGGAGTTTCCAACACAGGCCGTGGAAGGACAGAAAGAACAGAGGTCCCGCGCCCAAGAGCCCGAGTTGGGACAAGGACAGCTCGGAGGGAGGGCTGAGACCGGCGACAGCGCGCGGCGAGAAGAGGCGCGCCAGTGCGGAGGCTCGCGGGGCCCCGGCCGCCCTACTACGCACCTGAGGCTGCCATGCCGGGGCGCCGCTC